ATTAACTTCCACACTGAAGAGTGCCATTAGTGCAACCTTTGCCAAGTGGATCCAAAGTAGTTCTAACACTAATAAAACCATGTTAAAATAAAAATATTAACTAGATTGGTTTTCTTGTGGCTGAATTGTAACATTCACCAACATTATCACACACTATATCAAGCATCAACAGCAGTGCTAGACCAATTACTTTTTTTAATCATGATAGATTAAATAGAGTACTGAAACAATCACCAACTAATATAGAAATGGAATCATCGTTCACTGGAGTTCACAGACCCTAAAACATGCATTTAGTGTAAAACAACAGCTCACAGATTAAGCCAACACTGAACAAAAAAATATAACTTTTTCTTTCAAGATGAAAACACTTTCTTTGAAGCAAATATGCACATTTCAAAACTTCTTATTTGGCACAGTTTAAGCTTCCCTTCCTTCAAATCAGTCAAAAAAATATTTCTATAGATATATTTATCATTAAGAACCTCTGCTATCCAATTATACCCGGTCAGCTAACTGACCAGCTGATTTTCACCCCTGTTTATTTGAGAGAAGATTTGTCCACTAAACACATGTCCCAGACCTTTACTCCAAGTCAAACCTAAAAAAAACTTTGTCATATTGATGGTGACTTTATTGCCCATTGCTTGTTGTTAATAATAAATCCTTCTTGGAATGTGAAATCAAACCATTACAACAATGTCTTTTAACACACACACAAAAAAATTTATGAAATCTGGTTTGGACCTCTGAAAAAGACTCTTTTTTTATACAGAAAGGGGTAAATTTATGGAAAGCTGCTGATTATTTCTTGTTAAACATGTCCTAAAACACTGAGAGAACAAAAGAGCAGGTCACTGTGCTTCATCAAAGAGAGGCAGGGGACGGTGTAAGGCACAGGAGAGACAGATAACATAGCAAAGAATGATAACCATCCGAGTCCAGAAAATGTCTTGCTTCCACAACAGAGATGACAAAGGTTTCCAGAAACATGAACAACCAGGGTGAACACAAAGGAAAAAATGCAAGGCAAAAATTCCAGCAAGGGGCCCCACCTGAACCGCCCCCTCCCACATTTTACACCTCAAACCACCTTCTCGTACTCATCCACACACCCAGACCCCTGCTGTTTGAGGTCCTAACTCAGGAACCCTGCCTCCCCCTATCACCAGCATCCCCAGCTAACCTCTGTCCCATTTCCCCGACCACAATTCAGCAAACATAATGCATCACTGTCACCCTCCTCCTCCTTCATCATCAATACCCCCGTCCCTCAAACCACTTAGCAAAACCCCTCACAAGGTTTACACAACTAATTCTGCACTGTGAGAAGAATTCTATTGAGACTGTTGCAAATGTATAAAGAAAACAAAGGAATCACTGAATTTGCAATCATATTCTTTCTATTAATAAAGAATATTTTAAGTAACTAAAACAATATTTTTCAAGGGAAAAAAATGCAAAATGTTCTAATCAATGCATTGCATTGAGTCTGCAGCTTCCTCTAGCCACCGCTATATTCTTCTTTTCTAGCATAAACAGTGGGGGAAGGTGAATTAGCATTTTGCTTGGAGAATTTACTACTTCCAGATAGGGAGATGATGATTGAAATTATAAATAGTTTCTGGGTTTGATTAAAAGCAAATCGCCTTGCCAAACTTTCTAGCTGTTCATCATAAGGAGGACATACACTGTATGATATTTTCAATTGCTGTGCTCAGCTACAGCTCAAACTGTATAACGAAACTAAAGAAAAATACTTCTCAGCTTACAATGTATATTCTTACACTGATGCAATCTAGCTGCTCAAACTGGACCACACGTATTCCCTTATTTGCACATGTGCAGTGCACAGGGTTCGAGTAACTCGCCTGGCTGACAATCGTAGCTCTGCTTCAACCACATGATTTCTTCATCAATGTTTGATTTTATCCTGAGCTTACGATTCCTGATCAGGTGGTGGTAGTGAGAGGCTAATCGCCCCTCGTTACCCCTCTATGCTACATGACCCAGGACAAAACAAAACTTGAGTACAGCCGGAAAATCAGCCTAAAAAGGGCAAAAACTCCTACAATGTATGTCTGCCTACAGGGAGAAATAGACAATGCACTTTGGTCCGCTTACAAAAGTAGTGTTTGAGTAAAACAAATCGAATTAAAAGACAAAGTAAAATAATAAAATACTAATAAATAAAATATTACAAAATACAAACACAACTTATGAAACCAATCCTAACATTATTTAACACTTTTTACTGTATTTTCACCTTATTTCTGAATAGCTCAATGGTGGAATACCCAGAAAATAGACGATACACATACTTTAGTAAAAGGTATAGTTTTTCCAAAAAGTACATTTATGTCTTAAAGTTACTAAGTAAATGTAACTAAGTAAAAATAATTAGTTACTTCCAATCTCTGGATATCATCTTTAGTTTCAAAACCAAAAACATCTTCCTGATACCTTTGCTACTGAATGAGAATACAGGTAAAGTACTGGAATGAGACTGTACAGGAGAGTCAGAGACTTCCACTTCATGCTGCGTACAGTAGCACTGCCCCTCCCTCACCTGTTGCTGCACACTGTAGGTCAGCCATCTGAAAGACACTTCTTGCTAACAAGAGAGGCAAATAGAATAGAAAATCCCTTTATTGTCCCACAATGGGGACATTCCGGTGTAAACAGCAGCAAAAGGTTTATAGAAAAAATTGTCACACAAATATGGACGTTGGAAAAATGTAGGAATAACATAATAGTGAATAGTTAAAAGATAAACAATAAAATACTGTACTGTAAAGTGTTTCAAGAATATAAAACTGTGCACCTGAAAATCTGAGCGCTTAGTTTAGCCACAATAAAAAGAAAAAGAATCATGGCAATGATAGTAAAGAAGCATGACTAAATCCATGAAAGTTGTTTATTTTCTGTTTCTTGATTGCAACTGGCCAAGTGTAACAATTATACACCTTTAATGATACATAACATGATTTTTCAGAATTATTAATAATTTTTAGCTTTTCTGGTTTAGATAAAAGCAAATGAATCATAGCAGAAATATTGGATTATATTCTGTGTTCAGCAGTTTTTTTAAGCAGCATTGCTTTTACTCATGTTTGTCAGAACCTCACATTGGCCCATAAAAAAAAAATCTATATTTCACAGTTTAACTGTAAGAAAACATGATCTTTACGCTGAATAGCACGCTATTAGAAGCCCATTGATTGACATTAACCTTAACCAACAGAAAGGCATAAAGAGTCACCTAGAATGTAACATTTCCTCTTTATTGTTCTGTCACCACTTTTCCAGATTTTTTTTTTTTAATTGACAAAGATAACTAAAATTACCCCAAACATTCAACTTTAAAAATGCTTAATTTTGAACCTACAGGATCATCACTGGCCTTACTTGAATGCAATCCACAAAGAAAAATAAACCTTCAATAAATAAATAATCATATTTAGTAACTTTAAGATGTCCTACCCTGCAAACATGAAACAAATGTGTTAAAGTAACTAAATATGAGTAAGTAAATGCCAAAAGCAGTTGCATTAGTTTTTTCAGTGCAGATTTTTCACACATATCAACTGCACGCAGTGAGAAAATATTCAGTGAGTTGGGCATTTAATGATGTTATCAAAATGTCTTTTGTGTGCTTTACATGTTCAGGAATCAAGGTGGATTAAAAAATAAAAATCACAGGTATACAGACTTGAGAAGATGTAAGAAACAAGTGCATGTGTCCAAAGCAGGCAGAGATGGGCTCAAGTGAAGTGACTCATAGGGAAAAGATTGGCAGCTTAGTCAAGTGCATCATAAAAAATAATAAAAAATAGATGCAGGATGCAGCCCTTTTGCAGACAAAAGAATTGCTCCAAATAAAATTAGGCAGCAGAAGCCAAATGAGCGCTCTGATCTAAACTTAGCCAAGGATTCCACTGTAATTGACTCAAGCTCTCATCTCTCACCTGCAGTTGCATCCATCCCACTTGTGTTTACACACACTGCAAAGAGGACTGCTATTATCCAGTGATAACCTGCGCTGTAGTAGAGATCTAGTGTCACGCTCAAGGACATGGCGTCTCTTTTTCTTCTGCATGTGTGCGCACAAGGACAGACATGCAATACATGCCCGGCTGTGTCAGGGATCAAACCGTGAACCTTCAGAGGCGCAGGGGCAGTGAGGGCGCACAGGGCCACGCTGCTGCCCCCTGCAGACACACACGGGCACAGTCTATAGGAACGGGCAAATCCTTATTTCTTCCGCTACTCGCACACAATGCATCTGTTTATTCAAAGTACAGCAGAGACAATGCACTTTTTGTTCTTTATTCGCTTTTATAACACGTTGCCCTTGTACGGAAGCAGTCGGGAATAAAGATGTAAAACACCAGCATGACTTTTCTTGCAAACATTATGCTTCAGATTAAAAAAAAATAAATGAACATAAATGAGTGTGCGTGGGTTTAGTTCCTTCAAGTTGCGACAGTTTTTGGCTCAGGTGTTTCTATCCAAGCTTTAATACCAAATGGTTTAAATATAACCATATATTTCTTATGTTTCATTGAGCAGATTAGGTACATTTAAAAAGTGAGAGCTGCTCCTCCTACAAAAAAATAATAATAAAAAAAAAACTTCCCCATGTTCTCTGTAGGAAACACTGTGATCCAGCAGCAGCTTTGCGCGTAAACGGAGCCGCTTGTTCCGCCAAGTTAAGTTCATTAAACGCTGCGCATCGAGTCGCTCTGCAAACCACCACCGCCGAACAAACATGACAAGAAGGCTGCATCCCAGAGCAGAGATCAGTGAGGTGATCTCCCGGCTGTCATGCGCTGGAAACACTGTGCCCCAGCGCCGCACTGATGCCCCGGTCAGTTATCTCTCTCTGTGTGTGAGCGCACCTCCGTCTCACCCTATTTCCCACTTGTATCGACATGCAAATTGCAAACAAAGTCAGGCGTAATTAGCTAAATGTCAGCAAGCACGCGGCGTGGTCTTACCTGTGGAAAAGCGTTATCTCCTTCCCGGATCGATAATTTCTTCTTTACACCACTAACTCTCCGCCATCTTCGGCACTGTTTGTTTAAATGGGAAACACTCCCGGAGCCCTTAGCCAGGTCTGTAAGTTGAGTCGGCGCGGTGGGTTATGGGTAATTGAGTTCGGGCGTAAACAGCAGGGTGCTCCCTGCTTTCTGGTCCAACTAGGAAACGGACTACACATAAAACTCCACCAGACCAGAGGAGGAGGAGGTGACAGAAAAGGCACCGTCTGTCTGGCTGCATACAGACGAATGACAGCCACTGAAGAGGCAATGATACCTCAGTGTCTGATCTGTTCATCATTTAGAAAATACAATAAGTAAGAATATATGACTGTAGCACATTTTTGTGATGAAATGTAATTATTTTATTTTATTTTTACTGGCATGTTAATTTCATTTGATAAGATTAAAAAAGTAATTTATACAATCTTCTAGCCATTGGAAGGCCAGAAGATTGTACTATATACAGAAATAAGTTTGCCCCTCATTTTTAGTGCCAACAAAAAATAATCTACTTTTTTTCACTCTTTAAAGGTTTAGATTATCAACACCTCAAGTACAGACTTTGACTAGGCCACTCCAAATAACTAATTTATGGGGGATACGGACTTGTTTTGCTTTGGATCATTGTAATTGGTGACAAACACCACCTGGCTGTGTGTTTCCTGGACGGGGCCGCCTTTTACAGCTGCTTTTTGTATCTCTGCTTCTGTCTCCTTGAAACCCAGTCAGCTTCGACAGATGGCCGCTCACACTGAGCCTGGTTCTGCTGGAGGTTTCTTCCTGTTAAAAGGGAGTTTTTCCTCTCCACTGTCGCTACAAGCATGCTTAGTTTGAGGGATTGCATTTGAGTAAATGAGTCGATGCAATCAACTGGTTTTCCTTAGATAGAAAACTTTGTATCAATTTGACTGTATGATCTGGTGAACTGTAAAGTGCCTTGAGATGACATGTGTTGTGCATTGGCGCTACATAAATAAACTGAATTGAATTGAAGCTGAGCACTGATCATTCTCCCACATAATTTCTAACACAGACTGAGGTCGCCAGCAACCACAGGACCACTGAACAAGCAAGTAAATTAGTTGCTGCCGGTACATAACAGGATGTTTTCCATTTGTTGTCCTATAGACAGTGACTCAGAGTTTATCTGTGTAATTGTGTTGAGAAGTCACCTAGGGAACTACTGTTGCCATCAACACTGCATTTTTTTTCTTGTGTTTTTGTGCAGATGTTCTTTCAAATTTGTTATCTATTTTTGAGTGTGTTAGTACATGTGTGTGTGATTTTGGTTACCCACTGGTGGTGTCTACCAGCTGATACCTCATATTTGCTGAGGAGGGACCAGGACTTTATGCAAAAAGCCTGGCTTTTTACTGACTGGGATTCTATTTAAGGAAGTATTCCCCCTGATTTCTTTAGACTTTTAGACTTTAGACAGATTTTATTTGTCATTGTGTTTACACAAGTGTAAAACAAAAAGAAATTTCATTTGGAAACAGCTCACTGGACAATTTCATCTTATAAAAGTGCAGCCTGAAAAATAGTAAAAATGACTGTAAATTTACAGTTCTAACAATTATTTTTGTTATTCAATTTATGTGTTTTTTTTTATTAAAACATTTCCTACTCCATTTTAGACTGGATTAATCTATGCCTGTTACAGGGCAATATACCTCTCGCTTTTATGGTAGCTGTAATTAAACCTTTACTTTAGAAATCGTCCCTTGAACTATATGACTCAATCAATTAAAGACCTATATCCAATCTTCCTTTCTTATCTAAAATTCTTGAGAAAGTAGTAACCAAGTAAGGGTGTGGCAACTTACACCATAATTAACTTTTTGAAGAGTTTACAATCTGGCTTTAGAGCTCATTATAGCTGTGAAACAGCTCCGGTAAAAGTCACTAATGATATTCTCATGGCCTCAGATAATGAACTTGTATTTGTACCTGTCCTGTTAGATCTCAGTGCTGCATTTGGCACAGTTAATCATGATAGTCTTTTAGAAAGAATTTAATAATTGTAGGAATTAAAAGAACTGCACTAGGCTTTTTGATAAAGCTTATAGTTAGAGTGGATCAGGTTATCCAGAGCTATCTCTATAGATATGCTGCTATAGGCTTAGGCTATTGGAAGACTTTTCATCCTTCTGCTTCATTCTATTTCTATTCTCCCATTTTGCAGTATTTGTTCAACCTCTAACGTAATGATCTCTCTGTTTTGTTCATGTAATTTCATATATTCTGTTCCTGTTTGGCTGTGACACCATCCTGGAGAGAAACATCAGCTGTGCTGCTGCCTTCAATGCCTTTGTTTATAGATGTTGAAATTTGGCCTGTTTTTCCAGTGTAGTCCTGCTTCTCTGACTGTAACTAACTGTATATGCTGTATTTCATCCTCTGAAATGGGAGCTGGCTTGAAGCTCGTCTGCCTGGCTGTGTGTTTACTGGACGGGGCCGCCTGTGAAACTGATTGAAAGTTACCTTTTGGATCTCTGCTTCTTTTTCTATGTCTGCTTCTGTCTCCTTGAACCCCAGTTGGCCTCGGCAGATGGCCGCTCACACTGAGCCTGGTTCTGGTGGGGGTTCATTCCTGTTAAAGGGGAACTTTTTCTCTCCACTGTCGCTACAAGCATGCTTGGTGTGAGGGATTGTCTCTGTAAAGTGCCTTGAGATGACATGTGTTGTGAATCAGGACTACATAAATAAACTGAACTGAACTAAACTAATGTTTGTTCTGAATTATAACTACATAACTCAACTAGAATCCAAATATTTAAACTCAAATCTATTTATTTGTACTGATTTAATGGTCATTATAAGATGAAACAACAATACTCTTAAAAATACATTTAACAGAAAAATTAGGAATGAAAAGAAGCACATTTTACAGAGTTAGAAACTTTACATACTTCTACCGACACCTCAAAGGCCCTTTAGGTTTTCAGAGTTCTGTCGATTTGCATCGCAGATCTTTTGAGCTTTGCATAATGAAAATTCAAAGATAACATAAATACCAAAACACTGTATGCCTCTCAGGGCCTACCAGCATCATTATCAAACGCTAATTGGTTCATTATTTAATAAAAAACTAACAAGTTTTTGCTGTAAAAACTCAAATTAAACTTGTTAGTTAATAAGACTGATAGGGGTGACAAGCACTTCCCTTTTAAAAGAAATCAATCCGGGGAAAAAAGAAATGATACTTGATTTATGTTCTAGTGTGAACAAAGTCTTTTCCCAGCTCAAACACAAGAAACAGAAATTGTTAAATTTTTAAACTTTTAAAATGTTCCCTTGGAGTCAAAAGGCAAGGATGGGTAATTGCAAAGATTGCCACCTCCTATAATGGTCAGTAGGCTACTGCTTACATATTGGTTCTCAAAAGCCTACGCACCACTGTGCAATTCAAAAATTTTTGTGATGTTAGAAAATTTAGGTAATGATTAAAAATGTAAACTCTTCTTCAAGTTCACCCTGTACAAGAGGTCAAACAACCTTTGAGAACATATTTGCATAAGTGTGCACATGCTCAGACAAATACCTCACTAAAGCACTTTTTGAGGCATTTTAGACATCGAGTCTTCGTTTGAGCATTTGGTGATGATCTGGTCCAGGTTAATACATTTGGTACGTTAAGCATGTGCCTACCTCAGATGGCACAATGCTAATGAGAAAAAACATTTATAAAGGTTCTTAAATATACATTTATTACTTATGAAATGAAGTTAAACTCAAAAGTTCAAAAAATGTAGTCTGAAATGGTGGTGTACACTCATGGTGTATGATGTTCATGAGTGGATGGTATATGGGTAGCCATCCATCCATCCATCCATCCATCCATCCATCCATCCATCCATCCATCCATCCATCCATCCATCCATCCATCCATCCATCCATCCATCCATCCATCCATCCATATGCCCGAGCCAACTCAACTGGCTGCTCTCGACGTGGAGGAGCAGCGACTCTATTCTGAGTCCTGCCCTGATGACTGAGCTCCTCATCTCTCTGCCAGACACAATACACAGAATATTAATTTCAGACGCTTGTATCCAGGATCTTGTTCTTTCGGTCATGACCCAAAGCTCATGACCATAGATGAGGGTAGGAACATAGATTGACCGGTAAATCAAGAGCTTCGCCATTTGGCTCAACATTTAACCAGTTTTATTCAGTTTATAAGGCTGAAGGATGTCTAGATGCAGTCTGAAGCTCATTCCCTACCCTGGATAGTGTTCTTCACATCAGCAGGTGAAGGGATACAGTAGGAGCTAGGAACAGAAGCTACAATCTAAGGTATGTGGATCGGCCCCTAATGCCCAACCTAACCACAAGGGTCCTGCTCGGGTTGCAATAGCATGGTTTAAAATTGAGGTTGCAATGCTATAATGCTGTGCATAACATACATGCAAAAGTAAAGTTAAGAAATAAGCAGTGTAGCTTTAAAAATGTGGAAAAAAACATCACAGAATAAGGTTTGTTCACAGATAAAATCTACCAGAGGAAAAAAAGCACAGGTAATACATTCAAACAGAGTGAAACTGAAAGATAAAGGCTTTTCTCTAGAGGTTTGAGTTATTTATACTTTTTGTTTTGAAACACACATTTTAATACAAGATTTATAATCTTTATTTAAGGGGAATTTGTTTAAGTAACTTAGCTTGAATTATTTCTCTCTAGAAAACAAACAAAAATAAAAGTCCAAAATTATTAACCATGCATGGAAAATATTACTTTACCTTTAAACCTCTCTCTCTGAATTGTTTAACTGCTCTTTGAACAGGAAGTCCACCCTAATCACAGAAGAGCATTGTCATCTTGTCCATCAGTCTCTCCAGCTTCCAACTTTGGGCGAAATGTTTGAAATTCCTCTGGCTTAGAAAGTCGTTTTTAGAGTATTTTTTATGTTTTAAATGCAGGAATGCCGTTGTTGGAGCCTATCAAAAAAGAACTCCTGTTACAATCTGGATCAAAATGTAATTCTCCATTCTGTTTCTATTCTACTCTATATAAAGCACATTGGATATGGAAGTGCCAGGAAAAAGGGGTTAAAAGTGCTAGAGCTTAGAGACATTTG